AAGATCCTAATATTTTATCTAACCTTTGATGACAACAACTGCGTGATTTCAACTCGACAGAATCTGGAGCCCATCGACTGCAGGTTGGTAAATCTTTGCAACCTTGTACGGTGTTGTTTTCACGAATGCACGGGAAGCGAAAACCAAACGTGCATTAACAAGGATACCTAGGTACGATATCGCCGGACGTGAAAGGTCGTTAATAGCATTCGTTTTTGACCCATCTCCAGGTGACTTTTTCTAAATGTTACTTGAGGAAGACAAAGGTAAAATTCCAACACGAGTGTTTCATGGGGTTATTCTTCCAAAAATTATCGAACGTGATTGGACCGCCCAATGTTAAATCCCCATAGGCAGACCGTGCACGGGTTCCGGAAGCTCGCTGCGTGACATTTTACTTTCAGGCTCTGTTCAACAGAACAGTGGCGTACCCAGGATTCTGAGCAGGAGGGAGGCAGTGAATGATGCTAAATTATGGGCCTTTACGCGACTTTGGTTTTGAACTGCTTAGAGGAGACATGAAGTTCAATGATAGTTGTGATCAAAAGTTTGCAATTCTTGATGAAAAAGTACTGAAAAAAGGAGAAAAAGAAACAGTCCGTCGATTCTTGGCAATTGTTGGTAGCTAATCAGCTATACGGTATCCACTTGATTTCATATGGATCTGATGTTTTTATTTATCTGCCAGAGAAGAGAAACAGTTGCCAGGGAGACATGAAGTCAAGTTCGACTGCAGTACATTGCAAAAAAGATGTTCAGTACATAATAACTATTAATGCAAAATCGCGCCTCTCGTGTGTCTCACGCAGACTTAGTGGTGCGTTTTTAATGAAACGTCTTCAGGTGTAGAGTTTGGCGTGGTTAAACTGTGACCCTTTTCAGAAAAATCCTCGTGAACTAGTATGATAATGAACGGATTCTGCGTATCAACAACCATGTAAGTGTTTTCCTGCCACACTTGTTTTTTTCTTCAGGTTGCATAAATAAATTGACTGGTGCCCAGTGTGTCTGTAACAGGTTGTACCGCAAAGAATCAAGCAAGCACCAGACACTATGTTTCGGTGAGTGGACAAACTAGGGGGGGGGTTTCTTTTCTGAATATTCGTCTTCATCTAGGTGACAACTTCTCCTCATTTAATTAATCCCAACCGAAGTTAAAGCTAGAGTTGTAGCCCCATGGAAATGCATGTTTGGAGGTTAATCAAAGTGATGGTTATCGTTAGTATTGTTTTTCATTCTCCGTTCATTATTACCCCTGTTCGTCAGCGTACAGGAGTGGCACGCCCGTTTGGCGAAAGTGATATTTTTCACCCTTGTTTTTCTCCAAGGCAGTCCTGCACTGTCCTAGTTTTTTTTCTTATATATGTTGGTCTTGTTTGTCTCTTGCTTGATCGTTCTTCGTCTTTTCTATTGATTGACTGTTTACCTGTGTGCCTCCTTTTCCAATCTTTATTGATCCTTCTTCATAGGCCCTATATATTTTGGATACAGTTTTATTGCATGTAATATTGCATGTTGTTGCCTGAATAAATTAACAATAATAATTGTACACTTGCGCTATGGTTTAAGAACAAACGAAAGCACCCCTAAATGTTTTCAACCTCAGTAATGGCGTATCCGTGAATTGTTATATTAACACGCCCACAAAACGTAAAAGCACAACACGTACAGGAAGTTGTGACCTCACGGCTATCCGTCTTAAGCAGAAGCACCCCCTCAACGGTTGAAAAGAGCCTTGTTGGCCAGCAACAGGAGGGGGCAGTGAGTGCAGAAACCAATGTAGTATTGGGATTTTCTTCTTGGAATGACAAAATTTTTCTCATTATGAAAATGTCCATTTGTATAAAACAAAGCAAAACACACAATGAAACAGTGAAACAAAAAGTGGACGTGAAGAAGCACGTTCTACACAGTTCAGCTTGATAATTTTGGCAGTTTATCTCTTGCCCGTCCCTAGCATTTTTAGTTTTAACTCCACAAACACTCCCTCGTTTCCCGAATGGGGCATCCCATAATATTTACAGTCTTTATGTCACTGACTGTTTCAAGTCCATAAACGATTGCAAGTTAATTTAAGTGAAAATAACCCTTCATTTGATTTTTTTTCTATCTTTTCACAGGTGATTAAATCTCCAAGGCCGCAGAATGTAGCGTGTCAAAATCCAACTCACTGCTCAGAAAAAAGGAGATATACCTGTACAGTATTAAGCTTTAATTATATAACCCTTAGGCCCACAGTGACGGTATTTGTATAGTAGGTATAAATAAGTTGTAAACAACGGCAGATCCCAAGAAGGAGACGACGGAGGACATTTACCCCAATGGAAAGAGCCAAAAGAACATTTTAAAATTAAAGATAAATTTTTAAAGAAATAGGATGTTTGCTCTATTACCTTTCTTTTTCTACCTAAAGCGTGTAAAACGCCTCCATGTAGCCCCCCTGAAAAGGAAAGCTACGTGAAAAGAAATCCAAATGTTTGTCCCTCCAAACAAGTTCACCCCCCCCCCCAAAAAAAGGTTTTGGGTCTGCCCTTGGTGGCAAACGCAATTCAAACGTGTCACGTTGAGTTCGGTGTTGTGATTATAGACGAGAGGGGGCGTTTTGCGTTCGTGGAGCATGACGAGTTAGGAAGGGATCTATTTCTAAAGAACTTGTAACAAGTTGAGTCTGCTTATAAAGTTCTAGTAATGGTAAGTGTTCGTGTTGAGAGATTATCAGATGCTTTATTCACAGTTTTCCTTATTTTTACGGGCTCTATAATTTCAGAAAAATGAACTGACTCTGAATTCCAATTGTTTAGTAATGAATTCAAATAAATCCTTTTTCACGAGCGGATCCACAAATGGATTTGTCTCAAAACTTGTGACAAATCCATTTGTAGATCCGTTCAGGAATCTTCGTGAATACTTCAAATGCTTGAGGCCTCTCTAAATTGATTTGATTCAAAACGAATTTCAATCGATCCGTCGCGAATTATCAATATTGCGAGTCGTCCGTATTTTCTGGCTAAAAGAGAGGCCTTTTGGCTTTGTGAGCAGGCTTAACTCAACTGTATAAGCTTGTATAATATTTCTCTTGTGATAAAATGTACAAAAAGTTTTAACCGAGGCTCGAGTTACCGAGAGTGAGTAAATTGCAAACTTTTCTTTGTCTTCCAGTAGGCTTCGTCTCAGGCTTCAACTTTTTTTTTATAGCTGACTTCGAAGCTGTAAGCGCAGTAATTAGTCTAATAGTGCCACAAAACATCAAATAAGATGCAAGAGAGCCAAAAATTACAGTAATCCAGTATAATTTAAACACTTCAGGCCCACAATCGGGAATTGGTTTTGGGAACGAAGCCTGCGACAGAGTACTGGAAAATACACCATGCGATTAATTTAACACCATGCGATTAATTTAATATAGATTTTCGATAATTATTACTTTTGTACTCTAAAAGACTCACGGGTCAGAATGCATAACCTGGACTTCATGTCCCATTGAGCTCGATCCTTTTCCGGGTCAAAAGATTATCTTTCCAGATCAAAATGAACTGGAAAAGGGACACAAATTGACCGAGAAGAGGATCGTTTGTCGACTTGGAAAATGGTCAGGCTAAATGGGACACAGCTAGTCAGCTACCCAGGTCAATCTGACTGGCTAGAGTGGTACATAGAGCGAACATAAACTTCTCAGACGTACATGTATAAGGCACATCCGTGTCAACTGAGCACCCTATACCTGTACTGTTTCTGGATGGACTGGATAATGTCGTCTGGTCAATAGCCACCTGTAAATAGCTCAGACAGATGCAAAATAAATATTTAAAAAGGTGAAATTTCTGGGTGTTTTATATCTGCTGAATTTTCTCTTTAAAAGTATGCAATTACGAGTGCCTCGCCATTAATTTGAAAAGACTTCGCCAATTTTGTTTTGATTTTCTGCCAAGAATATTCCTGACATCCCCCATCAAATTATTTCACCTGCTTTTCCCAACCCACAACTCTGTTGAACTCCGCAGTGCAATATACATGTACAAGAAAAAAGAAAGTTACCAGCTTCGGCGAAAGAACTTAAGCCTGGAACACATTTTTGAAACACAAACAATAGCGGGCCTACTGGGAGTAGAAAAACATCTTTCTTATCCGGGTAGGAAACCAAGACGTAGTCTACATTCGAACCTGGTCAGGTGCAGATGCAGGAGGTGGGGTGAAAACACCCCCTGCTCTGAGACCCCCCCCCAAAAAAAGATATTTATATAAAAGGCTAAATGGGTAAAAGTATAAAAGAGTAACTAAAGTTAGTGCATCAATATTCCAGCAAGCTAGTTTGGATACGGGGTGTTTCAAAAAAGTATACATTTAGAACGTTGTCTACAAAATAAAGGTTTTAATAGTTTCCAGAAATCTTTTGTCATGTATCGCTTGACGGGTTTCTTGCTTTGTTTGCCATCACGTTGATTGTCAGCCTATATGCATGGGTGAGCACAGAAGTGAAAGGGTTAAAACAGAATTATACAGATCATGCCTGCAAAGTTTGGGTCTGTGCTTAATTGTTTTCCCCAAATTGTAACAATGTATGCCGTCTAAAATGTTTCATAATCGTTTCCGCTTGTCTGCAAAAACCTGAACCCCGTCCCAGCGGAGAAATTACTGGATCCACCCCTGCTGGTGCACAACGGAATAAGATGAAAGAAAAAGATCGAGAGTTCGACTAGAGGTTTACCTTATGAAGTGATGGACGTGTGGCGGAAGCGTTTGAATTTACCTACCAGATCTTTAACAGCGCCCTCTGTTAGTGTATGCCGCATATCATCTTGCGGCTGGAAGCAACAAAAGGAAACTCAAATAGAACAAAGAAAGTCCGATAGGAATGGAGTCGTTTGAAGTAACAGTGGAACTTTCCCATCCTCAATCCCCTGCTCTGAGAAACAGCCCTGCTTTACATGCAGCGCTCGGAACCGTCAAAATGCCTATTTTATGCTGGACATAGTGCCAGTCTATGGTTCAAATCTGACATGTCTGAAAGTTGGACGTCCCGCACGAAAACCGTGATACACTACCGAAGGGCAGCAGTCTCGATGTGAAAATAATACATATTTATTTTGCCAAGAGTGCTACAACTTGAGTACAAGTACAATCACCGTGCACGAAAAAACACCCTGTTTAGAAAAACCACCGGCGTACCACTGATTCGACTGTTTCCTAGTACAGGTAAGGTCTCTGAGCATTTGGAAAGTGAAGTGACTGTAAAGAAAGAAGTTTGCATACTGATTCCACTTTAGCGATTGTGTAAAATGGCTCCCTAGTTTTCAGGTTTTGGGTGTTCATTAGTTTCCTATAATAAAGGAACCAATTAATTTTATTTGAAACAACTTATCTAAACAAGTTGTTGATGATGTCCTCTTTCATATCAGAAAGAAAAGAGAACAGGGCTTTTGGTTTTGAGGGAAATTTTAGGGTAAAACGGCAGCGTACATTAGCGAATTTAGTCTGGTTCCCTGACCTGGATGGACATTAATTTTGTTTTGCTGAATCTAGCCGATTCAGCAAAACAAAATTAATGTCCACACAAGAAACAGAATAGCATGACCTGACTGAGACCTAAGTCTGACTGATTGGCTATCTTTTGCCTAACTCGGGTTACAAATGTTTGGTTTTCATGCTTAAACATTGTCAATATTTACCTACATGTAAACTAGGCCTGACAGGATTGAGTAGGCCTACTGCACTGCTGGTTCCTTAAGGTCAAAATGTTAGCTATTGTGAGAAAGTGGACTTTGTTTCCTTATTATAGGAACAGGTAGCCCCAGAATGGGTGCCAGTCTGCTGAACTCCCATATCCTTGGCACCATAATGGTCAATCCAAAAAGTGGAGACTCCACCAAAATGCCTTCATTGAAAGCCCTTTTACATGCATGGATCACTCACCCCATCAAATTACCAATATTTTAATATAGGTGATTTCCAGCTTGTAGAAGTCGCCAAAATGTTGGTATCGATATGGGCCATTTGTTTACTACTGTGATTGAGTCCCAATTGTTGACCAATGCCTAACACAGTCTGAATCTGTTTGGTCTGAGAACCAGACAGCGTTATTACGTAGATCCTCAGAGCATGACATTGCCAAAGAATGTTGATAAATGATGAACCAAAATATACGATGTTTGGGATCGAGTGTAAACTCGTTGCCAGACATAGCTTGGTGTGTGGCACGCACATATTTCGCTCATCCAATCCCCATCCCGCACAATGACGACGCAAACCCTTGAAAATACATACATACACAAGGCTTTATTACGAGTGATACAAAGTCACTGGTAAAACAGCAGTTGGAGTCACCGTCTCTTAACGCTGTCTGGTTTCCACACCAAACAGATCCCGACAATCGTGAGTTAATCACTGTAGTAAATGAATGGCCCAAATCGAAACCAAATGTCACCGACTTCTACAAGGTGGAAATCGCCCATATTAACATGATTAATGCATTAGTTGTTTGATGGGGTGAGTGATCCATACACGGAAAAGGGATTTCATAGAAGGCATTTTGGCAGAGTTTTCACTGTTTGGATTGACCGTTATGAGGCCAAGGACACAGAGGGAGTCCAGTAGACTGGCCCACAGTCTGGGGCTAAGGAACAGGGTGCTTAAGGTATTGAACACCCCAGTTTGGACATGCCAACTGTGTCAACTTGCTGTCTTCATTTAGGCTAGCCCCACAGGTAGGTCTGTGAATGGCTCTCTCTGTCTCTTCCTGTCACCATCACAGGCCTACTTCAAGGCGTAAGTTTAATGCCAGGCTGAAATCCAAACTGCAGGAATGTCACAAAATTTGAATCCTAATATCTTCTGAAATGAGAATGACTCAACAATTTTACTTACGCTGGCGTATATAAGCAAGCACATATTTATTCCCATATTCGCAAGTACCTTTTTAATGAGAAAGTAAGTGGCGCAGAATGCAATAAGACATTGTGGTGTGAATTTGGGATTGTCAAAATGCCAACTTATTAATAGTATAACACTAACGTGAACATTCAATCAATACCAGTACATGTACTTCTCATTTGCAGCAGTCTGTCATTGCCATGGATTCAGAGTTTCTGCCAGATGGTCGTCTCCTAGACATTGTCGACGAAGCTTGGCGGAAGGAGAAACTTCCACATGATGACATTGCTGTCCCCCAGGTGTGTTAAACCCTCAGGCACCTGTTAACTGACAGCTCGGGCCACATCCTAAATATTCTTTTATGGCTGCAACCTGGAGAAGCACGTTCCTATAATTTGTTGTAGCCACAGTTTGGTGACTTCCAGTGTTATAGGGGGTCCAGCATAAGTCCCTTCCCAAGACTAGTCACAAGTCTGTTCATAAGACCAATCATAAACAGGGTGAGAAATGACAAAAGAATGCTTTTGTCAGAGTTCGTTTGGATAACTCATTTATTGGATTGAGGCTGAATGACTTGAAAGGGACTTTACAGGGACTTGCAGGGACTTGTGATGGACTTAGCAGAGACTTGTAGGGACTTGTGATGGATTTGATGCAGTGCTGCTGTGTACATGTATAGTGCTTTCAAGACAAACTATTCAAACCTAACATGTCACTCTCTCGGGTAATTTACTGGGAACCTTCCTCATCCTTGCAAATCTAAATGCCATGCAGGAAACCCATCTTTGAATGCAAATGATCGGAAAATCTGTGCAACATTTCAAAACTAGGTAAGCATGTAGGGGAAGACTGTCCCCGTTACAGTGATTTTAATGCAGAAAAATTTTTTAGACCCAACCACTCAGCAGCCACATGTACAAATGCTGATCATCCTCCAGCACAATTGATTACTTCCCTCATGGTAACTCATGCAGTGCAACAATTTCAAGCATAGGGTTAGGTAGCTCAGCTGGTAGGGCGCTGGCACCATGTTCCAGAGATCACCGGTTCAAATCCAACTCCACTTGATTTCTCTGTATGTCTTCATAGTCAATTAATGTAACTGCACAGGTGCTTGTTTAGGATTTAGAGGACATGCATGTCAAGGCTAATTGCCGTCTCCTCCCTCCCAGGCTGAGCTTCCGGATGTCTTTGCCGATGACGGCATGTCAGCAGAGACCATCAAGGAGCAGGAACAGAAGTGGACTGACATGGCCTTGCAGAATCTCCAAGATTCACAGGGTGGCTCCCAGTCGTCATGACTCTCACTTGTGCCTCCAGGTACCAGCAATACTTACGCTGACTTCGGTGGACATGGTAAGACATGCTGGCGGAGATCCATCAAGGCCTAGTTAAAAACGTACGTTAGTTTCCAGTGCTGGTTTTTTGTAATAGGAAGGAGGAGCCCTCCCCTTTCGTTTTAACTCTAAAAGAGTCAGTTGGGCTGTAGAAACTCTTTTTTTTTAACAATAAAAAGCCCAATTCAAAAACTCAGCAAGGTCAGATGTGTTGGGCGGAATTCTGCATGGTTTGCACCAGTGAAGTGTTGATCCAAATCTTGCTCCCTAACTACGCAGCAGTGACCAAATCACCCAAGCACAGGAGTTGAATGCTTTCAAAGCAGTTTTTAGATCCTGTTTACTTTGAGCTGAGGTTTCAAGTCAAAGTACGTCATGTGGAGGGGCAGGGTTAGGGCTGTGTTGTGAACGTTTTCCCAACCATAGCAATGCCAAATCATTGCTGTAAAGACACATGTATATTCAGCACATGGTTTGTGCTTTTCCTATTAAAGTATACTCATTGTATGATTTATGAGCTATCCGGTTCGTAAGTGACTTCGTAACAAAGGCGGGCGCACCACAATTTGCAAGCTGAAGTTCCTCGTTAATTTCTGGTTCCATGGTTCCATGTTAACGGCGATCAAGGCATGAACTCTATATGCAGTGCATGTGCAATGGGTGTGATTTAAACTGAAGTGGAATCACACCTACGAACCGGATACAAAATTTGTTTTTTCAAATATTTTATTATTTTTTTTTAGGAAGTTTCATTCATATCTGTATCTCTGGTTTGTATATTTCCACAGGAAATGGATGGACCACACGAGTATCACTGAGACTCTGTGAAGACGAGATGCTTGGATGCCTGTCATCAGTGCCGTCCTTCATGCATTGCCTTGTGGAACGGGGGATGGGGCTAAGTCAAGGTGACTTGCAGCCAAGCCAGGCTAGGATTGGCTGCGTAAAGTAGGCAGGATTGACATTTGAATGGCTGTGTGCCCAAGCTCAGCTTTGTTGTGGCTGGTCGATGTTCATCTAGAGGCACTTTGATCTATGATGATCATCATCTGTTATTGATTATTTATAAAAGAAACTTACACCATCGAGAGCTCATCATATCCACGGATTTATGTATAAAACCTGTACATGTAAAACACAACCGCAACATCAGCAACCGTCCAGGAAAACTGGTAGAAGCACTTGGAGAGTGCAAAATTTGACCAATTGTGACAATCTGATCGATCTTCTACCAGCCTAGTGTCTCCTGTACTGTCAAGGAAGTGAGTGTGTATAGAGCAGGTGCATACTTAACATATGTGCACCTTGGCTGTTACATAATTCATTATTCAAAAATTAGCCAATGTACATGTAGCTACGCGAAATGTATATTTGAAGCTGCATTGAAAGGTCCATGCAATGTAATTTTTTTTTCAAATGAAGTCCTTTAAAATGCTTTTTTGAGTTCCATTGAACCCAACTTCCAATTTTTATACTGCCATTTGAATACATTCAGCAAAATATGGGACGGAGGGGTACCCCCCTACATGTCCAATCCCTATACACACTCTATATTACTGTTACCTAACATCCCCCCCACGTCTAAAAAGAATTCCTGAGATTCCGATCAATGACCAAAGGGTACTCCATCCCATACCTTAATTCAAATGACTTGTACAGTCAATTTTCTCAATATCGGTGTAAAAATGGCGGGGGGGGGGTGAATTACAGGCCCTTCTGCCCTTCTGGGCTCTTATAAGCACCTCCTCACCCTTTTTTGTTTTGAACCTTGGATTGAGCACACAGACAAACCCCTTTTTTTTACTTTGAGAGCCCCAACTAAAAAGAAAATGTCTCCACCACTGGGTTTTCCCATGAATTTCACCTAAGGTGCGCCATCGTCAAGAAGCTAAGTTGTACATTATTTTGTTTGGTTCTTGGGAAAAAAAGTGCAGTCGTCTCACCCGCTCAGTTGCGGAGCTTGTCATGGTTTGCTGATTCAAATATAAAGTAATCTGCCACCTGTTCCTGGAATATTTTTTTTTACGTTTGTGGGGAAGAAGTAAAATTAGGTGTTTACTGTCCTCCCACCATTTAAGTGCAACTGCTTTTCCAGAATAAAAAAAATGATTGCCGAAATGAAGAGTACCCAGCTGCCATCAGTAACTGACTTTGGCTTGTACACTGCAACATTCCCTGTCTATTTCCCAAATGTCCGCTTGCAATATCAACCAGTACATCAACTGACGTATATTTGAAACACAGAAATCGTATCTTATAACTATACATGTACTCTAAATATGGTCAGTATTTTCAATATTCATAAACTGACAGCAAGAAAGTATGTAGGTCCTCGAAAGTGTGCCATTGCTGAACACGGTTTTTGCGGTGTTGCTTTTAAATAATGGCTTCAGCTTCTCTATTTGTACAAAGTACTTTTACAGAATTCACCCTTCTAAGCGAGAAAAGAATTCCCAAAGCTTTGCAAATAAATGACGGACACAGTTCCGGTATTAAAAAAAAGACAGTTTAATTTCCTTTTATTAAGGTTCATTTCAAGCATTCTGGTGATTAATCAGCCTCTGAATGATACATGTATGATATGTAACAATTCAACCTTTAGATTAACAAAACACGTTTAATACGGCCTTTAAATTTGGCTACGGTTTCACAGGAAACATGCCAAAAACATGTGTAAGGCCTACCCGCAACCCTGCAAACTGTGGAATGCTTGCATTCCTGGCCAGTGGCCTTCAAGTCACGTTGCATGGACGCGTGCGTCTTGGCAAGTAATCCTTTTGGCCATAGAGACATTTAAAGCTGGGGTGTACCAGTTGCATATCGCTTGGTGCCACGAGAGGGATTTAGGCCTTTAATGAATCAACTGTTTGGACATTTGCGTTCACATTCCATCACTGAATTTGATCGTGACCAGTGAACAAGAAATGTACAAATGTATTTTAATCACAGGTTCTGCCCTCACACCTGCGTATCTTCATAAACACTGTACTCAGTGCTTGTCCCGAGAGCTGATAACAAAATCACAAGCCTACTCGGGTGGGACCCGAGCTTGCCGGGTCGGCTGGCCGACTGGTCGGCTGGTCCGAGTCAGATATGGCAGTGGGTATACCACCAACTATTTCAAGATTTACCTTCAAGTGATCTTGAAACAGATGTAGAGGCAATCACCAGGATTGTATAATATAATCTGCGAAGATACAAAGTTCAAGTTCTGCACAAATATTCGAGTCAAAACTCTTTACTTCTTCAGACTTTTATAAAATGAATTTCATCCAGAATGTTAAGAATTTCTTTGAGTGATGTCTCCTGCAGCGTCTCCCAGGTTTGTGTGCCCACTTCGCCTGATCAGTCTTTGCTTGATCATCATCAGTCGAGTGCTGTCCATTGTCTCCCGCATCCTCCGCTTCTGGGACCGCCACACCCCTGTGAAGACGATGGAGATCAACGCCATACCGACGAAGAAGTACAGCATGACCCCGACCCGGTACGCGGTCTCCCCCAACACGGTGCGGTACTCCGGCGGCAATGCGGCGTGCGACGGTGTTATGTCCCCAAACCCGATCGTGCTGAGCGCGACCAAGCTGAAGTACTGTGCCTCAAGCAAGCTCCAGTTCTCCGTCCACACGAAGATCAGCGCGGGCACCAGAATGAGAAAGAACCACATCACCGCGGCCGTGGCCAGCACCGCCAGGATGTTACGGGTCCGCCCAGACTTGATCGAGGCAACGCCCTTGACGAAGACGCTGCGGCACTTGTTCCACAAGACTTGACAGGTGCTGCCAATGACAGACAGCATATAGCCGTTGAGTGCTATGCCGGGGATGGCGTATACCACGCAGAATATCTGACCTCCCATCGACTTTGGTGTAATCCAGCCGAAACCTGTAAAACCAAATCTTGTCCAAAGTTTATTGGAAAATTAGTAGAAGTATTTCTGTTTAATTGGAGATGACGTCTGTTCCATCCCCTACATTTTGGCCTCAGTTTAATTTTAATATTGCATTTTTCTTTCTTTGTTATTAAACTAATCTCCATATGTGTACGGTTTTCGTAGCATATTGTTGTGTGCTCCTTTTTGCAAGCTTAGAAACATTTGAGAATACATCAGTCACACTACAGTATGGTAGGCCTACTCTCACTTGATTTTCTTATGATTTGTTAATTTATATTAATTTTTCATGGTTCAACTCCGGTAGCGTCGTAGCGTATCTTTCAAAGGGTGCAAGTTCACACTCAAAACGTGTTGTTGGCTTCCCCTTTGAAAATGCATGGTGTATAGCCAGACTTAAACGTTTCGCCGTGTGTCTCACGTGCAGGTACACGCACATACCTGATTTGCATACAGTGTGGACATTCCTTTGTTCTCCTGTGGTTAAAACGTAGACCACGCTTTGAAAGATGAGGTCTAATTTTCGAAAAGTTGAACCACTACATCTTGATAGTTGGAGTATAGGCAAACGACTTTTCAAAAGGTCGAAGTACAACGATTTGAACTACAACGCTTAAAAGTAGAGCACGATGCTTCAAAAGTCGAAGCATGACGTTTCCTGTCCATTTTAGAACACCAAAAAGAGTTCAGGGATGTACTTTTATATTAATAGGCCTTGCAACATTTTAGTTGAAATTCCAATTTGGATTTTTGTTCTTAATATTTAATGCATGTTCACAAATCGTGGTCGTTTGGGTACCGTTGTATTTATTAAGATTGTACGAGTTTCTAAATATCAAATGAACGTCGTCAAAGCTTCGGAAAGAAAATATTCCGTAATGATTTGACGTTGACGTATAAGTCCATAAAATGCACAAAAATGACGATACTTTCCGGTAACAGCCTTTCCACTTTTAAATTCTCAAACTGCAAAAACGTACTGAACAACTTGCATTTGTTACTGCCTTTGAGCACCAATTCAAGATGTAAATATTGGTATCCATTGCCTAACAAGTTTATTGAGGGAATTTTAAAGATTTGTTATCTCTTTTGAACACCGCGTTGTGAAAGTTCGTCACTTAAAATTCGCTGCTTGAGGACATCTTACATATGTAAATAACAACTGACAGAAACTACTAATGAAAGGAAGACTTCTGGGATTGAATTCGTCTTGTACTCAAATTCCATCCACTGTGACACAACCAGTTTGCACTGTGCGTTATCCTGGGATAATTTTCAGGTATACGATAAAAGAGAACAAGTGAGCTTTGAAAAGAAGACAAGTGAAAACAAAAGTGACTCGCCGTTTTGCAGCGAAATTATTCCTTAGCCAAAAATCAGCTAATTTTGCAGGTTTCCTCTGCGGACGTCGCAAGAGTTTCCTGTCGCACTATGTGAAATCTCGCCCTTGGGTTAGTTTTCCGACCATTGCTCACAAAACAATGCCACTCTACTCAAAACCTCATTCAACCACTTACTCACTACTCAGATTCCAGATGATGCTAACTCGGTCTCTCGACACATGACGGAAATTGGGAGTCCCCCAAAGCAGCTCCCTTTAACTCCCCCCTCCCTTTTGGACTTACCCATGGTTGTAACCACGGTGTAACAGAAGACGAACGCATTCTGGATGGTCCACGTGTCCCACAACGGGGCGTCGGGGTCGGCGGGCAGGTTCAATCGAGATCCCCATACCGCCCTGATATCTCGAAACAGCTCCCTCATCACCTCGACGTTGATCCCGCACTCGCTGTGATTGGCGACGAAGCTGCGGACCTTGGTGCGCAGTTCTCGCTGGGCCCGCAGACTGGGGTCTCTTTCCATGTGTATGAAGGCCACAGAGCCCAACGCGATATACACCGATTGGGTGATAACCAGAAGGAGTGACTTGACCCAGACTTTCATACTGACTGAGGAATGCACTTCGATCCTTGACAGAAACCTTCTAATCCCGCTGGCAAAAAGCGCTAACAAACGTGCAGGAACTTCCTTTCTTACCAAAACATCGCTGAGCTTGACTGGGAAGAACATCACTCCTTACGGCCGATTACCCGCCTTTATTTAAGCACTGGATCATTAAATTAGCATTCAGACCATTGTATACAGCCAACTCAGACCCTGTTGAGATTAAATTTTTTGCTGGTATGAGCTGGCACTAATACGTTTGGTTTCTTCTCGCACGACTTGCACGTATTCGTATGCGAACCATAGTATACCAGATTCGCATTTGGTCGAGTGAAGGTTCAATCAACTCTATGCAGGATTATGATAGTGCGGACTGCACCTACTGCGTATTGTCATAGACGTGGTGAGATAGTATTTTGCCGCAGCGAGATAGTAACTCGGAAAAAATTTCAAGTGGTCGATATACGCTTCCGTATTAGCTACTGACTACAAAGTATTGCTGGCTATTTTTACTCTCCTAATCAACAGCAATACACTCTAGTCTGTGCATGTACGTACGCAGGCGTTTTGACCCGCGCCATTGTTCGAATAAACTCTGTCCGATGAATTTCTTGACAAAAATTGCATCAAACAGGGCAGTAAGGGCATCTGTGGACAAGTGGACATGACAACGGGCCTGATTGTTTAAAACGGATCCAGATCGCAGAACCGAGCTTTGGAATCGTTGATCGAGTTGATCTGCGTGAAAAAAACAAAGCAAAACAAAACAAAACCAAAAAAAAAAAAAAACAAACAAACAAAAACAAAAAGCAAAACACAGGCCCTGTCTGTTTACACGGTACTGGATCGTGGCCAGCGATATATTGTTGGTTTACGGACACCAAAACCCGCATAGTTGATGGTGCGAACCAGCGGTAGGGTGGACTGTTTGAGGTCCAGATCCGTGTGCACACACAGACTGAAGGAGACGCAGATAGCAGGTGCACGAGCGTCTCCTTGAACGTACAAGGCTGGGGATGTGAGTCCAATGATTGTCCGAGGTTGTGTTTGGTTAGAGCATTACTCAGTGTAATCAAAATTTGTCTCATTGATTGAAGTATGCACAAAAATTGCAGTTGCTCAATTTGGGAGCCTAGCCTATGCATCTTGGTGTCGGATGCTGTTGTTGAAATCGACATCACAGACGAAATGGATAGTGGGTGTTACAAGGTCAGAAAACATTTAATCTTGTGAGCCTGCAAACACGATATGAAAGAGGAAACTTCAGGATAACAACAAGATGATTCAATCCCACAATTAGTCAAGATGCAAGGTTTTTATGTCTATTATATTTCAGCAAGTCTAGAAAATATTTCTGTTCATACCCAAAGTTCAGCTAAATCGGTCTGGGATGTCGAAATAAAGTTTCCCAACATTTCTTGAAAAAAATACTAACTTAGCGATTAATATTTCTTACGTTTCGTTTTAAATCTGCATACAAGAAATTTTGCAAAACACGGATTAAGCATAAAATCAGACAAGATCTAAGAGGTTTTCCCATCATAGCACAAAACTGGACATAAGAAAGAAACTGAACTAGATTACTTCGGCAGTTGACACCACTGGCTGATTTAAACAAGAACTCACCAACTTACGGATTGGGATATTATAGTGTTAATTTTCTAAAGATCGAATTTTAAAACTGATAGCCCAAAAACATATGCCTCAAAGGCTCCTTGCAACTCTAAAATGTTGATCTTAAACTTGAAACAAAATCTAATCATTCTCTTGACAGTTTCTCTCTCATATCCAGTTTTGTGCTATGATGGAGAAAAAGGTAAGCCATGCTGAGCTCAACCAAAATTGCCGATTTCCTCAGAGAAATGAAGACATTTGCCTGCAACAATTCTCTGTGAGGTATTAAATGTCAAGTGCAAACCTCCCCCATAAGACTCGGTGTAACATTCATTGATACTGGTCTTAAGACCACCCATTAATGCATAGCTTTACTCGCCAAGGACATGGACTACTACAATAACAAATTGTAACGGGCAGTTTTGCATTTAGAGCAAACACCTTTGCTGACCCTAGATGCGAAGTGCAAATTAAAACTTCCAAAGACAAATCCAAAGACACGAATTCATGAATTGAAACAAACATAGAGGGGGGTAGGGGACACGTTCCTCCTGCTCCACCCTACAAAAACGAGATTTAAAAAGGAGAAAATAAAGAAAAAACAAAAGAAATAAAAACGAAAGAAAAGGAAATGGAAACCACAACTTCGCTTTAAAAACCCAGCAATTGACCCCTTCCACATTTAACCATTCATCAGTTGATTGCTGATAAAAAGTGATTTGCCCCTGGTCTCTGTACGCATGTTTATTACTGCTTCCGTATCTAGCCTTTGGGTTGGGGTAGCAACTAGAATTTCTTTCCTAAACATTAATGATTTGTATTATATCATAATTTGTAGGGGGTTTTCGAGAAACTTACCCACACATCCTGGTTGAAAGGGCATATTTCGTTCAGTGTGTCCAATGCAACTATTTCAACAAGCAGAGTGTCTCTGACAGATTCTGTCACCATAACGTAAAAGGATAAATTATAGTAGCTTGTTCATATTCTTAATAACATGTTCAAATTCTGGGTAAGATAAACTGTTTAAAACGAAACTTTCCTTACTGACAAAATATAGCGCTTGCTACAAAATGAATGGGGATACCCAGGTTTCTCTTGGGTAGGTCAGAACGGATACGATCACTTCTTGCGGTATATCTTGACATCGTGCAAGTCGGCCACTGCCAGCTGATGCCCACCCACTGTGAATGTGATTCCGTAAGGGTCGTGCAGATTCTTAGCCACACAGGTGATGAACCGGCCTCTCAGGTCGTACTGATGAATGTGACCGCTGGCCAAGCGCACCGTGCTCGCCGCGATGTACACGCTCAACCCGTCGCTGCACACACCCCTGCAGCTGTGCACCGGCTGGTCGTTGATGCGTGGACGGATGGTGGTAACTATGTGACCATCGGATCCACCCACTATGTGCACCACCGCCTCTTTCCAGTCGCTGACTGCTATCCAGGCGTTGCCAATTACCGCCAAGAAGTGGGGTTTTATCTTGACTGGTATCCTGGAGACTTCATGCATACCGTCGTGGGTGATTTCGGTCACCACTTTCCCCTCGCAGTCGCCTACAAGGATGTTACCATTTCCTTTGATTGCTACCCCAAACAGTTTCACCTGTGTCTCCACTTCCGGTTGCACCGTTGGGAAGTCACCGATGAATGCCAGGTCATTTCTGTTGTACACTTTAATAACTCGAGGTTCTGAAACAATCCATCGGTCTGGTGTTGCTGCAACTTCATCTGAGAGAACCGGAAAGTAAAAATCCATATCATATATTATCTTGGTTATACATGTATTTATCGTTGATTTCACACAAACTACTTACAACGATACAGTTATATTTTGACCCATTGGACACCACCGTTATTTGGCGCCCTTGAAAGTTAGTTTATCGCCAACCGTTAACAATGTTTACTGATTATCTAGCTGCCACATTATTAAGAAGACATATAAACGTGTGTAGACCAAACAAAAAACAAATAATAAAAAAGTGAAACCAACTAACCACACCTCTTGCAAGAGTACGAGAATGTACCGACCCAATACGCTGATAAAAACCAATTGTCATATTGGCTGTTAAATTATTGACACATCCTTCAAAGCAAACTTTCATTTAAACTGGCTTGGAAATCCAGTTTATGTGCACAAATAATGACTCTTACTTGCTTTAACTGGGTCAATTGTCTGCCAGCTTTTCTCCCGACGGTCGTAGATGAGAAGTCGCTTGTTTCTCCTGTCAGTGACTGCAATTATATCCGGATCAGCTGCGGCGATACCCCGTGCACCTTCAAACTGCCCACGCCCGGTGCCTTGAGTGCCGATGGTTTCACACTGCTCCCAAGTATCCTCCATCACCAACGCACCAAGATCGCCTGGGGTGTCACCGGGTACAAACCTCGGACGAGGATTTTGGCCCCTGCGATTTTGCCAAAGGCTTTTTATACAATCGATTACCGGTTTCTGATAGTCTTCAATCTGCTGCATCATCGGCGTGAACACCTGCTCAAAATTCTGCCCGTCTTCCTTCTCAACCTGAACTTTCTCCTGATTTTCCTGACCAGCTGATCCGTTAAGCTGAGTCTGCTGTTGCTCTTGTGGGGCATGGGCACTGTTGTCATCTTGGCCTGAGCTTCGATAATCTGCAGTATCAGCTGAAAAAGGTAAACCTTTATTACATTATGGACATACGGGGGGTCATATTGCAAACTGCCTAAACTTTGAAAAATCCACACCTTTAATGACTAATCAGTGCAGCTTCCATCAATCCATTTTTAAAGAGGCTATCGTGCTGTAGCTGTCTCTTGGACAACGACCAGCAAAATGTTGTTCTAGGCCTCGGGGACCCTACCTTGTATGGAACGCCAAATGTACCAAAATATGACGTTAATCGGTGAACGTAGTTTGATTATGTCCTCAATCTGTGATGTGATGTCATCACACAACTACAAGTTGACAAACCATAACTTGATGTTGTCAAACCATTATGCGATATTGTCAAACCATTATGTGATGTTGTCAATCCATTATTTGAAGTTCTCAATCCATGATGTTAGGTTTCATTCCATTAGGCCTGTGTCACCTGCCAAAGCATTATGCAATGTTCTTTACCTATTACGTTATGAAGTCGAGGCATCTTACTTCGCGTAGTTAATGCATTACGTGGTGAGCCATCCCTTTACATAGCCCGTGTCGAGTTATGTAATGTAGTGATTCTATTATGTGAAGTTGTCAGCGAATTACGTGGTGTAACGCATTTACCATTCAGTGTGCACATTTCTTAGCTTCTGTTCAAATCTAGCTAGATTATTTGGCAGTAAATTTGATACTCAGCAAGTGTTCACGAAAACAAGACTAAAGGTTTAATTGTGCGGCTTGCCATAGATGTTATGCCAAGATTTTCTGAGAGCTTTCCCAAAGCTGCAATGTTTTATTTTCCCACAGACCTGCAGTATTAAAAGGGAAATGAATAACACTGAACAAACAATAATGAACAAGTATTCTTTTATGGGTGGTCGATTAAAAGTGATGAACGGCCTTTATAACTCTATCTCAAAACCGTAAAGTAGTCCCAGGCCCGGGGGAGGGGGATGCAAATCCTCGACTAAGCTGACCATGCATAGATCTTTTGTTTTTTTGTTTTGAAAACAGCGGATTTATGATGTTGTAGCAATAGTTTTAGTTACAGGAAACTCCCGCAGAGGGGATTGACCAAGGCGAAAAAAAAATCGAAACGAGCAGGAATTTTTATTTTTTGACGCAAAACGTTCAACTTTAGTTCAAAATCTTTTCTTGCCTCAAAAGCGGACCTTTTAGTCGCGTAGGGGTGTGAGGACACACCTCATGCACCACCCCCTAGTTACTGGCCTAAGTC